AAGGAAGGAAGGAAGGAAGGAAGGAAGGAAGGAAGGAAGTTGGTGAACCCAGCAAACCCCAAACCATCCCACCAACATCTAAAATCCAGCATTGGGGCCACTAGCAACTGTAGCCCAAAGCCTGGGAGAATGGCAGATGTTTATGGGTCTTCAAAATGACAACAGGATGGGAGCCATTCAGATCTCATTGCAGAAACCAGGCAAAGTGACAAAAGAGCCACATTTCTTAGGTTCTGATAGAAGACATTGTTAAAATGAAGGAACCTGAACCACCCCAATTTGTCAGTTCAGATTGGCTGGGAAGGCACAGTGGCAGTTTTTAATCCTAGTATGTTGCCCACAGTGATTTGTATGTGGTCAGCCCCAAAAATGTAAATTTAAAGTAAAATAAATATCCTTAAACTGTTCTGAAATAGCCATCTCTTTCCTAAATGCCAGCAAGGGTGTTGCCAATGCAATTTCTGATGGGGCACTGATCCTAAAGAAAGGAATCACAAAGGACAACACATTCCATATGGTCCATGGTGTTAATTGTCCTTTAGAAATGAATTTGAAATGGTGCCTTCCCCACTAGATCTTACAGGCTGGTCCTCTGAGAGAAAGCAGCCCTGAAGACAGCTACTGAAAACCAAAGAAAAAAAAGCAAAGGTATTAAACATTAAATGAAATTTAGCATGTACAGCATAGTTTTGACTTACTGAGCTTCACTTCAATCAATTCCAAAATTTGAAAAATGGCAGATGAGGGGAAAGCTCCAGCATCTGGAAAACAGCAGTGAGCAAATTTTATACAATTCTTGGAATGCAATCCTGAAGTACAGAGGCTGTTATCATAACCGCTTAGGTATAACATGCCAATAAGATGGTGTTGAAATGATGACTTTATGAAAACTTCCTAAGTGGGAGGATAGGATCCCTTAGATTAGGGGCATCAAACTGGCAGGCCATGGATGTGTCACATGCTAGGCCACTCCCACCCCAGCTCTGCAATGGGAAAACGTTGCAAAATGTCACATGATGGCAATGTTATGTAGCAAGATTGACAGCCATGCCTTAGATTATTATCAGCTACTAAAGACCTCAAAAGGAATAAAAATCTGTCTAAATACTAAAGATCTTGTAAACTTTGCTTACATCCCAAGTGACTGCAGTGAATTCCCTAGCAGACTTTCATTTTAATTATTGATATGTTACCAATGATATGTCAGCATCTGGATGGGGGTGAAAAAACTTGCACTCAATCCCGACAAGACTGAGTGGCTGTGGATGCTGCCCCCGAAGGACAGCCCAGATAGTCCATCCTTAATCCTGGGGGGTGAGAACTTACACCCCTCAGAGAGGGCCCACAATTTGGGGGTCCTCCTGGATCCACAGCTGACATTGGAACACCATCTGTCGGCTGTGACCAGGGGGGCCTTTGCCCAGGTTCGCCTGGTGCACCAATTGTGGCCCTATTTGGATCGGGAGGCACTCCAAACGGTCACTCACACCCTTGTCACCTCAAGGCTGGACTACTGCAATGCGCTCTACATGGGGCTGCCCTTGAAAAGTGTTTGGAGACTGCAACTAGTCCAGAATGCAGCCGCGCGAGCGATATTGGGTGTACCAAGGTACACTCACGTTACACCTATCCTCCGCGAGCTGCACTGGCTTCCTATTGGTCTCTGGACACAATTCAAGGTGCTGGCTATTACCTTTAAAGCCCTACATGGCTTAGGACCAGGGCACCTACTGCCTACTGCCACATACCTCCCATTGGCCGGTGAGATCCCACAGGGTGGGCCTCCTTCAGTTGCCGTCAGCCAGACAATGTCGGCTGGCGGCTACCCGGAGGAGGGCCTTCTCTGTGGCTGCTCCAACCCTTTAGAATGAGCTACCCCCAGAGATCCGGACCTTGCCCACTCTCATGGCCTTCCGAAAAGCTGTTAAAACCTGGCTATTCTGGGAGGCCTGGGGCTGTTGACCTCACTGTTGAGGTCCAGCCCCGATCAGATTGAGTGCATGTGTGATGTTTTTTTAAACCTGTCTTTCCTTTATTTTTATTACTTCTTTTTTTTCTTTTGCTTTGTAAGCCGCCCCGAGTCCTTCGGGATTGGGCGGCCTATAAATATTGCAAATAAATAAATAGATAAATAGATAGATAGATTGATTAATTAATTAATTAATTAATTAATTATATGATTTTCAGTATGCTTCAATGATGAGGACTGGCATAAATAAGGAGCCTCAAGTTTTGTCACCAGCAAACCATTTTCAGTGAGGAAGAAAATTAGGAACTTTATAAGTTTTCCCATTATTTCAAATATTTGTATTCCAGAGTCATTGATAGCTGAATAATAATTTAACTTCACAACACTTTAAAGTCATACCTGCTAGTTAGTAGTGGGTAGTTTTCTACTACCGGTTCTGCTGGCCTGGCTTGGTGGGCATGGTAGGGCAAGGATACTGCAAAATCCCCATTTCCTCCTGATCAGCTGGAACTTGGGAGGCAGAGAATAGATGGAGGCGGGGCCAGTCAGAGGTGGTATTTATCGGTTCTCCAAACTACTCAAAATTTCTGCTACCTGTTCTCCAGAACTGGTCAGAACCTGCTGAATACCACCATTCTTTAACAGGTATGCCCTTAGGTTCTTCCCAAAACCCTGAGGTGTCATAATGTATATGTATGCAAATGCAAGCAATGTAGCCTTTTGCATTTGACAAATGGAAATGTTGTCAAATTTTTATTATGGTTCTTCACACAGTCAGCCAGATGTTTAGATTGGATTTTGACATTTCTATCCATATAAAGATATGTAGAAATAAAGAACCATAATCTTTAAGAAACATTTTTATTTACAATACTGGGTATTGCTTCCATTGTCAATTTAGTTGCAATAAATTCATTCAACACAGGATAATTGTGGATATATCATATTTCTCAAGCAAGGCAATAATTAGAGGCTTAATATATGTTTTTCTACAATGTTCTATCAAATACAAGTATTAATATTATGCCTTCTATCTAT